AGAATATTTTATTATACACACATGACAATAAGAAAACAACTACAGTATATGAAATAAATCTATATATGGTGCACTAACATAACATGAAAAGTATAAATGTATCATGCAGAGAAGTAATTAGCTATACTCATTTACATCCACCCCAGACAGTGTGATATCTTTGCTAGCGTTTAAGCCCACCAGGTAAAAATGTTAATTAAAAAAGTAATAAATATAAACATACACATTTATTGTCTATTTAACAGTATAATAATATAAACTGCATACAAAAATGTAAACTATACCTGCTTATCATGCTTTATGTCATTGCAATGAACCATACTATGCAGCTACTGTACTGATGCAGCATGTGGTCTGTTTGCTAGCATGCTAAAACTCATATTTTGATTTCAAAATAAACAATATTTATTTTTCAAGTAATATTCTAACATATGTCTTATTGAAAACACTAATCACTTACATTTTGATAACAAATGAGTACTTACCAAGTAGAAATATGCAAAAAATGTTATCTTTTGAGGGTACCAAAATAACCTACGTTTTTTTGCAACTTCTTCTGGGATCAGCAGGCACATGTCACACATGCTTTGATAAATCAATATTGACAAATCTGATTGGCTTACAATAATAAGTGTCATTTATTTAACAAGCAGCTTCATTGGAAGAAACATCACACAGCAAAAAATGATGTAGTTTTTCTTTTTGACTCAGAAGTTGCAAGTGGGTTTATATGGTATGTGGGCTTAATAGGGACGTTTACCCTAATTGTTTATGGTTCATTGAACAAGCATGTGAAACAGTGTTTAAACCCTTTACAATGAAGATATGTGAAGTTATTTGGATTTTTACTAATTATCTTTGAAAGACAGGGTCATGAAAAAGGGACGTTTCTTTTTTTACTGAGTTTAAATGTATTTTTTTTGTTCAGAAAACTTGGGGGGACAAATAAAATCAAATGCGGGCCAAATTCGGCACGCGGCCTGCCAGTTGGGGAAAATTTGCTGTACAGAATAAGAATATTCCAAAAAATGCATCCTGTTTGCAATAAGGCACTAAAGTAAAACTGCAGAAAATGTGGCAAAGAAATTAACTTTATGTCCTGAATACAAAGCGTTATGTTTGGGGCAATTCCAACTCACTGAGTACCACTCTTCATATTTCCATGCAAGGTGGTGGCTGCATCATATTATGGGTATGCTTGTCATCGGCAAGGACTAGGGAGTTTATTTTTATACAAATAAATGGAATGGAGCTAAGCACGGGCAAAATTCTAGAGGAAAAACTGGTTAATTCTGCTTTCTTGAAAATGGCTGTCTAGCAATGATCAACAACCAACTTGACAAGAGCTTGAAGAATTGTAAAATTAATAATGTGCAGATATTGTACAATCCAGGTGTGCAAAGCTCTTAGAGACTAACATCTTGACCAAACCGGCGCAGCGCGTGTGTGCGCCATCGTGCGCATGTTGATTTTGTCTATCCCCACCAGACATGATCAGGACACGCAGGTTGAAATGTCAAAACGAACTCTGAACCAACTATATTAATTTGGGGACAGGTCGAAACACATGAAACATTCATGGACATTTAGCTAGCTAGCTTGTTGTTGCTAGCAAATTTGTCCTTGGATATAAACACTGGGTTGTTATTTTACCTGAAATGTACAATGTCCTTTTTTTTTTGCTGGATCTTTGTAGAATATTGACCAATTTTAAGTAACACAAAATTGTGCGTTCTCTACTCTGACAGTTAATCCACAGATAAAAGTGGAAACCTAGTTTGTTTCTAGTAATCTCTCCTAGTTCTTCTTCTGTGGATTTTATATGGTGGTTGGCAACCAACTTTAAGGTGCATTACAGCAACCAACTGGACTGGAGTGTGGACCTAATTAATCTTTCAATCGCCCACATTTGTATATGCTCCTAAAAATCATTGAGGAGATGAGAGAGACTGGACTTGCAGCGTGTCAAGCGTCTAAAATAGAACCGTTCTATTTTAGCGCCTGGCTACGCAGACGCGTGCAAGCTGTTTGGCTGAAATGATTGAATAACATGTATGTGTACATTTATTTTTGCAACACTTGCGCACGCAGCGCTGCCTGTGTGGTCAGCATGTTACCCAGAAAGACTCACAGCTGTAATCGCTGACTATGTTGATTCTAACATGTTGACTCAGAGTTGTGAATGCTTATGTAAATCAGATATTTCTGTGTTTCATTTATGAAAAATTTGCTAACATTTCTAAAAACACATGTTCACTTTGTCATGATCAATTTTGAATTCAGACTGTAACACAACCAAATGTGGAATACGTTAAGGGATATGAATACTTTCTGAAGGCACTCTACATCTCAGTATAAAGTAGCTTCCTCGTCTTTCTAGATGAGGAGACGAGAGGATGCCACTTAAGACACCCACATTAGGAAGCTTGCTCAACAAGAAGCCAACACGCTACCTGTTATTATTAGTTCTATGACCCAGACCCACTGAGGTAAAACTTCGCCCAGCACACAGGGAATAGAGCAGGAAAAAAATCAGGCTCTTTCTCAGTTGTTTTCTCCTTGAATCTGGGGCTCTGTCCACAACCCAAGAGGCAAAAAATGAAGGACAATCAAGAAAAGACTTGATGTTCAACCTGAATTTCAAACAGGGTTAGGGTTGAGTGCCCTCTGGTGGAAGTCTGGTGTTTTGACAAATGGAACCCGACAGTAATCAGTTATTGCTATTAACTACATTTGATTGACTGAGTTGATAGATATTTAATAATATTGACAATAAAATGAATACTTTTACTAGCTACAAGGCTCTGAGCACATTCATTTCTCAGTTGCAGGGAATAGCTCAAGTAGTCAGTTCTTCAGTCATCTTATATTGACCTTGAGGTAATTTACCTGTTAATTGCAGGTTTTAATATTGAAATGATGAGTTACGCATATTCTATGCCAAGTCAGGATATGTGGCCGTCTAATCAAGCCTAGTAAATTCACATGACTCAACCAATCTTGAAACAAATGTATCCCAGTCCCCAATCAGTGAGTGGTGATATGTGCCAAACTAGTTAAGTGACTCATTCTTGAATGATGAGGTCCAGTTAAACAAAAGGCACAGAACAAATCACATTTGTCACATGCTTCGTATACAACAGGTGTAGACTAACAGTGAAATGCTTACTTATGGGCCCTTCCCAACAATGCAGAATACAATAAATAATAATAATAATATAAAAAGATAGTAACACAAGGAATAAATACACAATGAGCAATGATACATAGAGTACCAATACTGATTTGATGTGCAGGGGTACAAGGAATTGGGGTATTGGGGTAGATATGTACAGTGCCTTTGGAAAGTATTCAGACCCCTTGACTTATTTCAGTTTTGTATTTCTAATACATTTGCAAACATAAAAAAAAAAAGGTTTTTGCTTTGTCATTATTCGGTATTGTGTGTAGATTGAAGAGGAAACCCCCCAATTTAATCCATTTTAGAATAAGGCTGTAACGTAACAAAATGTGCAAAAAGTCAAGGGGTCTGCACTGTAAGGGATAAAGTGACTAGGCAACAGGATAGATAAGACAGTAGCAGCAGTGTATGTGGTGAGTGTGTAAGCGTGTGTGTGGTGAATATGTGCCTGTGTACGTTCTGTGTGAGTGTGGGTCCAGTGTTTATGCATAGTGTGTGTGCATAGTCAAAAAGAGTTTGTGCAAAAAGGGTCAATGCAGATAGTCCGGGTAGCTATTTGGTTAACGATTTAGCAATCTTTGGCTTGGGGGTAGAAGTTGTTCAGGAGCCTTTTGGTCCCAGACTTAGCGTTCCGGTACCGTTAGTCGTGCGGTAGCAGAGAGAACAGTGTATGACATGGGTGGCTGGAGTCTTTGACCATTTTTAGGGCTTTCATCTGACACCGCCTGGTATAGAGGTCCTGGATGGCAGGGAGTTTGACCCCAGTGATGTACTGGGCTGTACGCACTACCCACTGTAGAGCCTTGCGTTCGGATGCCAAGCAGTTGTCATACCAAGCAGTGATGCAGCCAGTCAAGATGCTCTCAATGGTGCAGCTGTATACGTTTTTGAGGATCTGAGGGCACATGCCAAATCCTTTCAGCCTCCTGAGGGGGATGAGGCGTTGTCGTGCCCTCTTCATGACTGTGTTGGTGTGTTTGGACCATGATAGATCCTTAGCGATGTGGACTCTTAGGAACTTGAAGCTCTCGACCCGCTCCATTACAGCCCTGTCGATGTGAATGGGGGCGTGTTCGGCCCTCCATTTTCTGTAGTACACGATAAGCTCCTTTGTCTCACCCACGTTGATGGAGAGGTTGTTGTCCTGGCAGTGACCTCCTCCCTGAAGGCTGTCTCATCATCGTTAGTGATGAGGTCCACCACCTTCCTGTCATCGGCAAACTTGATGATGGTGTTGGAGTCGTGTGCGGCCACACAGTCATGGGTTAACAGGGAGTACAGGAAGGGACTAAGCAAGCACCCCTTAGGGGCCCCGGTGTTGAGGGTCAGCATGACGGATGTGTTGTTGCCTACCCTCACCACCTGGGGGTGACCAGTCAGGAAGTCCAGGATCCAGTTGCATAGGGAGGTGTTCAGTCCCAGGGACCTTAGCTTGGTGATGAGCTTGGAGGGCTTTATGGTGTTGAACGCTGAGCTGTAGTCTATGAACAGCATTCTCATGTAGGTGTTCCCATAACCAGCCTTTCAAAGCATTTCATGGCTACAGATGTGAGTGCTACGGGGCGGTATTCATTTAGAAAGGTTACCATGGCGTTCTTGGGCACAAGGACTATGGTGGTCTGCTTGAAAAATGTAGCACAGACATATCAGGTTTTCTTTTTATAACAACCTCCTTTGTCTATATGTTTTGTTAGCTTATTGCTGACACAGTCATACATTCACTGACATTGGGATTGAAGAGCCAGAGAATGTGAAGGCTCTTTTTATTTGTAATAATGTTGTTGTTTTGTGGCCCTCTCTGGTTATACAGGTCTGAATGATGTCGGAACAAGATTTGGCAGAGATAGTGCAGATAGCAGTGGAGGACTTGGGCCAGGGCGACCAGACTGGTAAGATCTATATTACAGACCACAAAGCTCTGTTCAATCACCATAACTAGGGCCATGTGACCTGACAAGGAAAACCACGAGGGGGAAATTGCTGGCTCTATATAAATGTCAGGCTAATACTTCCAAAAATGTCTCTATACATCCATTTGCCTGTATTGTAAAGGAAAGGTCACCACTGACTGACTATCCATTGGCTAATGGTGAAGCTTTACTTCTGGCTTTAGATGTTTTATCTTGATGGTTAGCTACTACCCATGTGGGTAGATTAGCAACAGTCATCGAAATTGTTAAAAGGTTTTAAAAATATTTCAAATAAATGCACAATGGATGAAGATACGCCAAACTTTTTACAATCTATCAGATATCGACTGAATTATAGCATATAAAAATTTTTCTGGCATGGACAAATAATGGAGTTCAGGGATTTTGGTGGGAATTTGGGTGTTAAATTTGTTAAATTAACTTTTGTAGAATGCGCTCATATATACATTTTGTTATTGTATCATTATTTGTATTATTTGTTAAAATAATGTAAAAATATATGTGCCTCATTTGCATAAATACACCAGGGGCCTCATTTATAACCGTTGCATACATTTTACACTAAATATCTGCGTGCGCTATTTCTGAAAAGACTGTGCACACACACAAATATTGAGATTTATAAACTTGGCACATGCCATACATACTCATGTTTCCCGTTATAAAACACCTGAATGAAAAACTGTGCACGCGTAAACAAGCATTATACAGTGCATTCGGTAAGTATTCAGACCGCTTGACTTTTTAGACATTTTGTTACGTTACAGCCTTATTCTAAAATTGATTCAATTGTTTTTTTACCTCATCAATCTACACCCAATACCCCATAATGACAAATCAAAACAGGTTTTTAGAAATGTTTGCAAATCTATTGAAAAAAAAATAACCGGAAACATCACATTTACATAAGTATTCAGACCCTTTACTCAGTACATTGTTGAAGCACATTTGGCAGCGATTACAGCGTTGCGTCTTCTGGGGTATAACGCTACAAGCGTTGGCACAATATTTGGGGAGTTTCTCCCATTCTTCTCTGCAGATCCTCTCAAGCTCTGTCAGGTCACTGCACAGCTATTTTCAGGTCTCTAGAGATGTTTGATCGGGTTCAAGTCCGGGCTCTGGCTGGGCCACTCAAGGACATTCAGAGACTTGTCCCGAAGCCACTCCTGCGTTGTCTTGGCTGTGTGCTTAGGGTCATTGTCCTGTTGGAAGGTGAACCTTAGCCCCAGTCTAAGGTCCTGAGTGCTCTGGAGCAGGTTTTCATCAATGTTCTCTCTGTACTTTGCTCCATTTATCTTTCCCTCGATCCTTACTAGTCTCCCAGTCCCTGCCGCTGAAAAACATCCCCACAGCATGATGCTGCCACCATCATGCTTCACCGTATGGATAGTGCCAGGTTTCCTCCAGACGTGACGCTTGGCATTCAGGCCAAAGAGTTTGATCTTGGTTTCATGAGACCAGAGAATGTTGTTTCTCATGGTCTGAGAGTCCTTTAGGTGCCTTTTGGCAAACTCCAAATGGGCTGTCATGTGCCTTTTACTGAGTAGTGGCTTCTGTCTGGCCACTCTACCATAAAGGCCTAATTGCCCATCTCCACAGAGGAACTCTGGATCTCTGTCAGAGTGACCATCAGGTCCTTGGTCACCTCCCTGACCAAGACCCTTCTCCCCTGATTGCTCAGTTTGGCCAGGCGGCCAGCTCTAGGAAGAGTCTTGGTAGTTCCAAACTTCTTCCATTTAAGAATGATGGAGGCCACTGTGTTCTTGGGGACCTTCAATGCTGCAGATATGTTTTGGTATCCTTCCCCAGAGCTGTGCCCTGACACAATCCTGTCTCGGAGCTCTATGGACAATTCCTTCGACCTCATGGCTTGGTTTTTGCTCTGACATGCACTGTCAACTGTGGGAGCTTATATAGACAGGTGTGTGCCTTTCCAAATCATGTCCAATCAATTGGATTTACCACAGGTGGACTCCAATCAAGTTGTAGAAACATCTCAAGGATGATCAATGGAAACAGGATGCACCTGAGCTCAATTTTGAGTCTCATAACAAAGTGTCTGAATACTTATGTAAATAAGGTATTTCAGTTTTTTTATTTCTAATAAATGTGCATAAATTACAAAAAGCCTGTTTTCGCATTGTCATTTTTGGGTATTGTGTGTAGATTGATGAGGAAAATAATTGATTTAATCCATTTTAGAATAAGGCTGTAACGTAATAAAATGTGGAAAAAGGAAAGGGTCTGAATACTTTCTGAATGCACTGTAACTCTTCCTGAATAACGCCCATCATTCACCTTTTATGGTGACAATAATGCTGTTATTTGCTGTATACTTTGGAAGTATTGGAATTAGGCCAAGACAGTATATCTAAAGGAATTATCAATGGTGAACTTGATCAAATGTCTTTGGCGGTGTTGGCAGATTTGCTGTATCTGACAGTTTCAAATTGTTGTGGACCTCTAAACAGATCGTTTGAATTCAATAATGTTTTGTATTTACTTTCTCACAAACCTAAATTTCCTGCATTGCCCGTGAATTCTGAAACATTGTCTACTCTGAAAAAAATGAAAACGGCAGTAGGCCTACTTACAGTGGTAGCCTACACACTTCAGTGCAAAAGATCAACTGTCTGTTCACCTGTTAAATTCTACTGTATGTTATAAACCGCGCTCCCTTTGTGACGCATAGAGCAAAAACTTGAAATTATAATAATCTAATAGGCCCAATTAAATGAGAGATGTGCATAGTAATTTGTTGGATGGCTAATTTGGGAATATGAACTCATCATGGCTAAAAATGGTGGAATGGGTATGATATATGTATTATGTTTATAAATGAAATAGTGTCTAGGCTACTTGAGAAATTTGACAGTACAGTTTTCAGACGTAGCCTACAAACGTCAATAGAAAAGGTGAACAGTCTGTTCAACCGTTTATCTGTACATCGGATCGCATAGAAAAGTAGCCTATCCTAACTTGTTGTAGGCCTATAAGCTATTTTGTGAGTTTGAAACCATCACAGTCAGAAAATGTGAGGAATTTATTCTGCAATGATCATGGAAATGAAATAAATAATTGGAAATAGATTTCTAATTATTTTAGAATGCAAAGATAAAAGAAATCTTCTCACTAACAGCAAATGATTGCATCTTATTATATTTAGCTACCTGTTATTTGCACAAGGCTACTTTTGCCTTCTTACAATGCAATACTTCAACGATTAGAAACTATCCGTACGCATGGTCTAAAGGTGGCGGGAGGATAAGCACATTCTCATGTCAAGTTCAGTTTTTATATAGATAACTAATGCGTGAACTGGCGCACACATGTTTTGAAGCATATTTTGTGTTTGCGCAGTGTTTATAAACAAGGCCCCCTTTTTGCATATATTAATTAACATAAAAGGGTGGAACAGGGCTGCAACCACAACACTTGCTCCATCTACCTTACCTGCGCTGTCTAGACTGGCTCATTAATTACTGTTGTCACGTTCTCTTGCATAATTCAACAAGTGTGTCAATCGCAGGATACCCTCGGATTAAAAATCAACAGGCTCTAGATTATATCTATCTAAGCAGACTTAACATTGTTTGCGAGATCAAACATAATATCACAATAATCCATGTTTATTTTCAGAAGTTGCTTTCAAAATTAAAGCAATCAATCCAGTGAGATTTAAGTGACAAGTGGATTTTGCACCCCTCAAACACAGGAAATACAGTTGAAGTCGGAAGTTTACATACACTTAGGTTGGAGTCATTAAAACTGGTTTACAGACAGATTATTTCACTTATAATTCACTGTATCACAATTCCAGTGCGTCAGAAGTTTACATACACTAAATTGACTGTGCCTAAAACTCAGTGCCTCTTTGCTTGACATCATGGGAAAATCAAAATAAATCAGCTAAAAATGGTAGACCTCCACAAGTCTGGTTCATCCTTGGAAGCAATTTCCAAATGCCTGAAGGTACCACGTTCATCTGTACAAACAATAGTACGCAAGTATAAACATCGTGGGACCAAGCAGCCGTCATACCGCTCAGGAAGAAGACGCGTTCTGTCTCCTAGAGATTAACGTACTTTGGTGCGAAAAGTGCAAATCAATCCCAGAACAACAGCAAAGGACCTTGTGCAGATTCTGGAGGAAACAGGTACAAAAGTATCTATATCCACAGTAAAACAAGTCCTATATCGACCTAACCTGAAAGGCTGCTCAGCAAGGAAGAAGCCACTGCTCCAAAACCGCCATAAAAAAGCCAGACTACGGTTTACAACTGCACATGGGGACAAAGATCGTACTTTTTGGAGAAATGTCCTCTGGTCTGATGAAACAAAAATAGAACTGTTTGGCCATAATGACCATCGTTATGTTTGGAGGAAAAAGGGGGCTGCTTGCAAGCCGATGAATACCATCCCAACCGTGAAGCACGGAGGTGGCAGCATCATGCTGTGGGGGTCCTTTGCTGCAGGAGGGACTGGTGCACTTCACAAAATAGATGGCATCATGAGGAAGGAAAATGATGTGGCTATTTGAAGCAACATCTCAAGACATCAGTCAGGAAGTTAAAGCTTGGTCGCAAATGGGTCTTCCAAATGGACAATGACCCCAAGCATACTTCCAAAGTTGTGGCAAAATGGCTTAAGGACAACAAAGTCAAGGTATTGGAGTGGCCATCACAAAGCCCTGACCTCAATCCTATAGAACATTTGTGGGCAGAACTGAAAAAGCGTGTGCGAGCAAGGAGGCCTACAAACCAGACTCAGTTACACCAGCTCTGTCAGGAGGAATGGGCAATGCTACCAAATACTAATTGAGTGTATGTAAACTTCTGACCCACTGGGAATGTGATGAAAGAAATAAAAGCTGAAATAAATAATTCTCTCTACTATTATTCTGACATTTTCACATTCTTAAAATAAAGTGGTGATCCTAACTGACCTAAGACAGGGAATATTTACTAGGAATAAATGTCAGGAATTGTGAAAAACTGAGTTTAAATGTATTTGGCTAAGGTGTATGTAAACTTCCGACTTCAACTGTATATGGTTGAAAAATACATCCTCAGATGGGCGGGGCATGCTCGCTGCTAGGGTACATTTGGATAAATCACTTTGAAAGAGCTACATACCAGCAGAAACATTGCAGTTTTTTTATGATCATGTGTGTGACTGCATGTGTGATTTGTGTTAGATGTGTTGGACAATCATGAAGATTGTGATGACAAGCCTGATAGGAAAAGGCCAAGGGTGGACCACAGCGCCCAGGATGCATCTCTAAAGGTAGGTTACTCGTGCACTACGTCGGGGTATATTGGATACGATATGCACTTCTAAGCTGAGTCAGTCATGTGAGCATGTCAGTTTGTTTTTCATATGAAAATATATCATAAATTGCATTTATATATTGTTACGTTCCCCAACAAGAACAAAAAAAAACATAGCTCAACAGAAATAGGGAACAAAAAAATGAGCCACTGACAACCAGTACGAAACAGGTGGGATTTTAAAATGGGTTCTGAAAGGCATCCATTGGGGTGCCTACTGACTGGGTGCTGGCCAAGCAAGCTCAGGTAGGGTCTTAACACCCAACATGGACGCCCATGAGATTTGCCTGATAACAGAGAAGCTAAAGAAAAGAACCCATACCAACTTAGGTTAGGAAGTGAAAATAAACATGAAGCCAACCAAAAAATGGAGACACAAAATATAAGGCTTTGTATTCACAAGCTTAAAGGGAGCGCTAAACAGCGGTCTAGCTCTTCCAACCTCTCTCATGCCGACTGGAACACTGGGCCAGCCGCTCTTAAATATAACCTGTGCCAGCACAGGTGAAACTAACGAGGCGACAGGTGCAATATATCCTGACCAATGAGGATGATTCCAATCAGTGCGCGTCCCCACCTAAATAGAACCAACCTCAAAAACAAAAAACAAGTTATCAAATGTACCGCAGAAATGGAAGGTAAGTCACAGAAAATAGATGTTGTGATGCCAGCTACAGAGAAGTACTTGGATTACGAGATTTTACTGCAGAAGCGTTACATATAGGGGGTGTTGAATGGTATTGTTCTGTCCTCCCAGGATGTCGGCCTGGGGTAGGATTAGACAGTGTTAATGTAGTGCAATGGAGTGGTGTCTTTTAAATGGGTTAATATTTGGTAGGGTATTTTTTTAATTTTATATCACCAAGTATAATGGATTGTACAGTAGGTGGCAGCATGCACCTCTAATGTTTGTTTGCGGACCGCCATAATACTATAGAAGAACGGAAACCAAAGCCTGTAAGAATAGGTCTACTTTAGTGCTTAGACTCTAAGCTCATTGTAAAGAGGGGCATTTACTTCATCAACCACCAATGTGTAACATGCATTTACACACACACAATTCACTTTCTCTGCCTCGTTCCCTCTTCCTCTCTCCAGACCTTGTTGTACTCCATCAGCCAGACGATCTGCCAGCGTTTGGACAACATGGAGGCCAAGTTGCAGGTGGTGGAGGTGACGTGCCGGGCCCTGGAGAAGAAGCTGGACGCCGTGGTCAACAAGAACCAGGCACCCATCCAGGTCCCTATGGTGGCCGGCTCCCCTCTGGGGGCCACCCAGACCTGGAACAAAGTGCGCTGGTGAGTTAAAGTGTGGACCTGGGTCCATATTCATTAGGGTATATCGTAGCAGGCCATTTTGCAACGGCAAACAAAAACGAGAGTTTCTTATTGGACATGTTCAGATTTTCTTTCCTGTCTCAGTCTGTTTTTGTCCGGTGCCTAATGAATACAACCTGGTTAGGACTGGGGATCATGGTGGGATAAAATGCTTGGACTGGGACTGGTCAGGGTGAGATGAGGACTTGGAGACAAAGGGTGGTACACTGGGGGACATTGACACTGGTTGACTTGTACTTTATGAGGGAGTACTCATTCTCTTACAAGTGAGTGCTCAAGTAGAATGCGCCTATTCCCATGAACACAATTTGACACTGGAGCCTGTTGAGGTATTTGACACAGAAGAATTCCCCGTCTGCCCCTGCAGTGTTGTTCCACAGACCAATGTGATAGTGAGCCAAGACCGACTGAAGGGTCAGGAGGAGTCAGTAACTCGAGGGGCAGATTCACTGGAGAACCTCCTTAGCAAGTGAGTGACTGACACCTGTTTTTTTTCTGCCATCATGCAGAATGTAGAATCGCATAAAGAACAAACAATGTTGTGCATGAAACTGTGATCCCCACTAAAGTTTGATCTACACAGAACCGTCATAACACAATGGTACTCAGAACCCTGCAGAGTTTAGTGGCTCAAACAGAACACAATGGAACACAGTTTGGCTCGGCCCATGGGTCCCTGTGTTGATACCTCGCTCTAACTAAGCCTCTGTGTGTGTTCCATCAGCACGGTGGGTGGGCGGAGGCAGAACACGTTCCTGGTGAAGGTGCCGGCGCCGGAGGACAGCCAGGAGGAACAGGAGAGCGGCTCGGAGGCTAGCGACTCGGTGTCCAACAGTGGCCATGGCCAACAACGCCCAGAGCACCCAGAACGTCACCCTCATCACCCTCAACTCCGAGGGTACGGCCCTGTCGGAACACACAACACACTCATGCACAGACACACACACACACACTCACGAACACACCTACACAGAAACCCATAAATACACACACACAGAGAAACCCAGAAACACAAACGTGTCCCAAACATGGTTTGAAGTGTGAATTGTAAAGAAAAAGCAACTTGAACTATTTAGCCCTGTCACCATTTTGTGAATTGGGCTGGAGTCTTCTCAGTGAGACAGATGGATCAACAGATTTGAATTCAAATGCAGCTGGAATTTGATTTGTGGATGTGACGTATGTTGCCTGGCACTTCTTCCTTAACGCCCAAATACTACCACCTGTGTTGGTGTATAATGGTGCTGTGTTGAAGTTTCAGTCTGTATCATTACCAGCTTAGACATCTGTGGTAGCTAGTGTCTCACTCTGACTGTTTTGAAGTCTTCTAGGATGGTCTCACTCTGTCGAGACTCAACGGCTTTCCCAGTGGTCACTTACAAGCCTGAGGAGAGGACATGTTTTTCTGATTGAGCAAAGTCTCACTCTGCAGCTCATGCTGTTGTTTTTGTTTGTGCAGTTTTTCGTGGTTTCTGGAGTTCCTTGGTTAGCTTCAAAGACGTTCCACGGACACATATTCATTTATTTGCAGCTGCAAGTTTCCATGGCGACGTGTCTTTGTCAGTGTTAGCCGGAGGGCACCATGTGGTTTTCAAAAAGGAATCGTGTGTGCCTGCCTGGGTGGGTGCGTGCGATATCCTTCCACTTCCCTGCATCTTACTCTCTTTATCAATTTCACTGTCAGCTGTCTGTCTCTCCACACCTCTTCATAGAGAGGTCTCTGGTTACTACTCTTGATAGATAGATATACAGTGAGTGTACAAAACATTAAGAACACCTTCCTAATATTGCACCCCCCCTTTGCCCTCAGAACAGCCTCAATTCGTTGGGGCATGGACTCTACAAGGTGTTGAAAGCATTCCACAGTTGTGTCAAGTTGGCTGGATGTCCTTTGGGTGGTGGACCATTCTTGAAACACACGGGAAACTATTGAGCGTAAAAAACCCAGCAGCGTTGCAGTTCTTGACACAAACCCGTGCGCCTGGCACCTACTACCATACCTCGTTCAAAGGCACTTAAATCTTGTCTTGCCCATTCACCCTCTGAATGGCACATTTACACAATCCATGTCTCAATTGTCGCAAAATCCTTCTTTAACCTGTCTCCTCCCCTTCATCTACACTGATTTTGAAGTGGATTTAACAAGTGACATCAATAAGGGATCATAGCTTTCACCTGGTCAGTCTGTCATGGATAGAGCATAATGTTTTTTACTCTCTGTGTAGATAGATATAGCTATCCTATACGAAGTGTGTTGTTCCTTGTTGAACTCTGTAATGCCCCAGGGAGATGTCATCCTATTGTTAGAGAATGTCACAACACTCATAATAACCTCTAGGACTGTGTTGGTGTACTCCTGATGGTCGCCACAAGGCTGTGCTGTGGTATCAGCACTAGCAGAGATTGGGAAGGTGTAAGCCTATCTTTTTAATAATATGCCATTTAGCAGACGCTTTTATCCAAAGCGACTTACAGTCATGCGTGCATACATTTTTGTGTATGGGTGGTCCCGGGGATCGAACCCACTACCTTGGCGTTACAAGCGCCGTGCTCTGTCATATTTTTGTTAGCGGGGTTACAGGTACATTATTGTCAATTTACACACTTTATACCTCATGTATCTGTAGGCTGCCACAAAAAATCCACTAATTTGAATGGGTGTCCACATACTTTTGTGTATATATAGTGTATGACAGACTGGAAGCAGCACAGGGTCACCTGCAGAGCAGTTTTGGGGGTTATACCTTTACCACTGTACTCACTCACCCACCCACTTAACTCCCCCTTTCACCGCTCTTTATAGACGACTACCCAGCAGGTACGTGGCTTGGTGACGAGAATAATGCAGAGATGCGCGTGCGCTGCCCTGTGTTGCCGGGCGACATGCTCCACATTAGCACCAACTGCCGCACGGCGGAGAAGATGGCGCTGACGCTGCTGGACTACCTTTTCCACCGCGAGGTGCAGGCCATGTCCAACCTGTCAGGCCAGGGCAAGCACGGCAAGAAGCAGCTGGACCCACTCATGATCTACGGCATACGCTGTGAGTCGCGCACACCAACTCACTCACTCACTCACACACACTTGACATGCCATTGACTATTTGACCAACTGCCATTGACAAACTGACCATCTCATCCCCTGCCATTGACCAACTGACCAATCTTTCCCCATAGATGTATCATAGGCAGGGTTCAATCACTTCACCCTTTAGCACTTAGGTTACCCTTTGACCCTGTCACAACGGCCACACCCTCAACTCCAAATGCTCCCGTTGTAGTGTAGCTCCAGTTCCATCCAGTGAGCACAGACCTGAATCTCTCTGCATTCCCCAGGCAGGTTAGAACAACACACATTCATCATGGAACACATGCATTCATGCGTAACACATTTTACAACATACCAAACTCCAAATGACAAGCACATGTAAGTCTGAGTGTTCATGATGGGGCCGTAGCTAATGCGCTGACCCCTTTGATTCCTAATTAAGCTTAAATGTCTGGTGAGGGGAGCCAGGGGAGAGGAGGGGAGCCAGGGGAGAGGAGGGGAGCCAGGGGAGAGGAGGGGAGCCAGGGGAGAGGAGGGGAGCCAGGGGAGAGGAGGGGAGCCAGGGGAGGGTGGCTGTGGTAGAGGAGTATTTATTGGGAGTAGTCTCGTGTGTTGTGTGGTGAGGGAGTTGCACAGGGAGTGGGCTCTGTCACCCCACATCTATTACTCTCTGTTGATCGCAGGTGCCGTGCAGGAGTGGCAGAGTGTGTGTGCACTTGGCTTGTGTGATGCAGGTGTTTTGTGTGTCTTTGTGTAATTCAGGTGTGTGTGTTTATGCAATTCAGGTATGGTGTGTGTGTGGAGACAGATTTGGGCTGATACAGGTATGTGGGGGCTGGAGCAGGACCAGGTGACTTGCTCACAGTAGGCAGGTTTCCATTGACCCAGGTTTATTCGACAAAATCTTTGCATGTGTAATGGAAACGGCATATAAAGGAGAAATGTTCTGAAAATCGACAACATTTTGTATCCGTTCGACAGGAGTGGATATTTCTGTCGACAAACTTTCTCTATTGCGATAAATTATGATGGAAACTGTGTTTTTCGATTTAAATGATTGCCAAATCATTTTGAAGGTACGCAGGGCACGTGATGTCACCGCGTAACTATAAAGCTCCACTCAACATTTAATTCTAAATGCCTACTACATGCAAAATCAAATTTTTTTTTACTATAAAAATGTTTCTTTGCAGGACGAAGATTGTCCTGACTTTCAAGAATGCCTGAATTGCTTCACCTTGCTTTTCTGGTTGGCTGGCAAGTTTAACCATCCAATTATTTCAGATCTACAGGAGTGCAAGTTTCACTATGGCACAGACCGTGATGATACTTTGGCACATGAGAATTGTTAGAATATGGCAAATTTTAATTATTGCATTCTATCCATGCTGGCTTTCGCCGGCTACCTGAGACATGAAACAGATAGGTGGGAGGGCATACAGGCTGTCGCCAATTTATTAATGCGCAATTTGCCTAAATGGGTAACACTTCAACCACTACATTTTTATTAGACACTAGGTTTTTACGATATTTTTTATTTGTCATTACGTTCAGCTATTTTTATCGCACGATAGTTAAATGGAAACGCACTCTAGCAGGCAATTGTCACATCTATTTTCTATGCAAACTTTCTAAATGTCGACCAAAAATCACTGGACAAGTTAATGGGAACATAGCTACTGACTCTGCCTGCCTGTCCAACTGGGACTGGTGAGAGAGCACCTGCCTTGCCTGCCTGTACACGACCGTCAGGTGTTGGTGTGTGTGCTAGAGGCCAACTCCCTCTACGTCCCCCTTCCCCCTCCCCGTGTCTCAACTCCTCCCCTCGGGCGACAGCAGCCTCATTAATCGGGTTCGAAAGAAGCTGTCAACTCCTCCGTCTCACCCTCAAACCAGCTGCTAACATAACCGCACCCTCTCACATGTTATATATCCACCTACATGGTATAGTCCCCAGTGTCGGAGATTGGGATGATATGAGGTGCTATCAGTGTACCTGACCACCTGTACCTTGACCACCAGATTTAGAATCTAGCTAGAGTTTTCAGTGCTTCTGACATTTTGACAGCTCAGGCAGAGTTGCATTGATAGTGGGACAAGGTTGCACTGTACAAACTACACACAGAGACTTGGCATGAACTGCTGTCCATATTAAGCAATTCATATGACTATTTCTACCTTGTCATGGTGAGTTAACCATCTTAAACTGAAGTCATCCTAACATGGTTAAATGAAATGACCCTGAACTCCTGTGCCCTCGGTCATTGTTCCCCTCAGGTCACTTGTTTTATAAGTTTGGCATCACTGAGTCAGACTGGTACCGGATCAAGCAGAGCATCGACTCCAAGTGTCGCACGGCATGGAGACGCAAGCAGCGCGGCCAGAGTCTGGCGGTCAAGAGCTTCTCCAGACGTAGCACCAACACACCGGGCAGCTCAGGTAGGCAGGATACTTGGGGTCATCGCACGCACACACACTTTATAGTAAAAATAGTATTTCCTCTCACTTATGTAAGTGTATATAAGGAACCCAGTGAGTAGTGCAGATGCAGAGTGTAGCAGATGGTTCTAATCTTCACAACACAACAACGCCTCCTGTCCTCCCCTCCCTATGATCCATCACCTCTCACCCCTGACCAGCGAGAGTGGGACAGCAGGGGAAACCCAAATATCCTGTGAGCCCACACCAGGGGTGTACGCTGTACAGTCACAGCCCGCTCTCCTCCCAGGCCACACACGCACACAGAGCAAGTTCTCTTACACTCCGCTTAATAAAACTGCTTCAACATTAAACTAACTTTAAACAGTTATTTGTTAATGAATGTGGAGAGTGAGCTAACACCAAAAGTACAGTCTCCTCGAGCCACCTGGCTCTCGCCTCACTGCCAATGGCTGTGCTGGGGATTATTTACACACTACAGTACATGGGTTGTGTCCCAGATGGCACCCTATTCCCTATATAGTGCACTACTTTTGACCAAGGCCCACAAGTCTCTGGTCAAATGTAGTGCACTATATAGGGTTAAGGGTGCCATTTGGAAGACACCCGTGGTCATGCTGAAGGTTGGAAGATGGACCTCTTACTGGCAGTATATACAAAACATAGCTATGATATGAGCTGTACCAATCAGATATCTGTGCCCCGTGTTTTTTATACCATGATATTATTATTTTGAGTACGAGTCCTTTAGGCCTGCTTTGTCACATCCGTGTGGTGGGAATTCCTCAATGTAGGCCTACATCAATCTAGCAACAAAAACCCATATTCTCATAGTGAGCACGCACACACCAGTGTAAAATAATCACACACACCCCCAATGAGATAGTAGATGGAGCTATGGTGGGCTGATGGGGGACGTGGATGTGCTAGTGGTGGGTGTTTGGCTGCTGGGTCATGAGTGTGTTTGGACTGCTAGCTTGAGAGTCCTTGTTGTGTATTTAGACATGATTGATACAGTATAAACACACACCATCATCCAGCAGATGGCCTGAGCTGTTGCCAAGTATTCCTCTAGAGGTGAATGGGCTTTTATTTCAGCCTCCCCCTTCCACCTAATGGATCTGGGGGAGTCGGTCAATAATCTGTTCCTAGATCTGTAGCTCAGCTGGTAGAGCACGGCGCTTGTAACGCCAAGGTAGTGGGTTCGATCCCCGGGACCACCCATACATAAAAATGTATGCACGCACGACTGTAAGTCGCTTTGGATAAAAGCGTCTGCTAAATGGCTTATTATTATTATTATTAGATCTGTGTCTAAGCTGGGTAACTTCTATCCAGAGTATATTTTCTACCACATCTTACTGCATCCTACTGTTAACTCTATTGCGTTACACTAGTGCCTCATCCTGCCCTGTGCTCATGCCCCTCCTCCCCAGAGGGTGGCGCTGTGGCGGAGGCGGCTCACATGGAGGGAGTGGCCCAGCAGACTCTACACTACACCCTGGCCAACCAGGCTGTCCAACAGGTCCAGATCCACCGCATAGGAGAGGACGGACAGGTCCAAGTGGTGAATGTCACCGTCTCCCCCCACTGTCTGCGTCTCCTCTCTCCTTCCTGCCCCACTGCCCTGATTTCTCTCTGTTCATCTCTCTATCTCATCCTCTTTTGCTTCCCTCTCATTCTCTTACCTGCCCTGTTTCTCTCTCTGGCTTACTCCCCCCCCCCCCCCCCCCCTTCTATCATTTTTGTTTCTCCTCTTGTGATCTCTCTTCTATTTCTCTCTGTCGCTCTTTTCTCTTCTCTTTTTCCCCTCTTTTCTTTTGCACTCCCCATCTCTCTGCCTTCGGTCTCGGTTCTTCTCTCCACAAACCCCTGTGCGCGCGCACACACACACACACACACACACCTTTCCTCCAGTTCCTTAGTCATCCAAAGGTCCCAGATTGAGTCTCTTATCTATGTTGTATGGGGGTTAGATCATCTCACCCTTCTACACCAAGACTGTGTACAATGCTCCACAGGAAGACGGTGTGTCAGTATAGCAGAGTTCCATCATGCATAGAGATTGGATGACCTTATACAGAGGTCACACTCAGGTCCACTGCATCACTATGGGTGTGTGGGCCAACAGGAAGTAAAAAATATAATATATTTTTTAAAGAGCAGCAGTAAAATAACAGTAGCGAGGCTATACACAGGGGGTGCCGGTACAGGTTAGTCGAGGTAATATGTACATGTAGGTACAGTTAAAGTTACTATGCATAGATAATAAACAGAGAGTACTGCACCATAAAAGAGGGGGTGGATGGGGGTGACGACGACAATGCAAATAGTCCGGGTAGCCATTTGATTAGCTGTTCAGGAGTCATATGGTTTGGGGGTAGAAGCTGTGAAGAAGCCTTTTAGACCAAGACTTGGCGCTCCGGTACCGCTTGCCATGCGGAGAGAACAGTCTATGACTAGGGTGGCTGGAGTCTTTGACCATTTTTAGGGCCTTCTTCTGACACCGCCTGGTATAGAGGTCCTGTATGGCAGGAAGCTTGGCCCCAGTGATGTACTGGGCCGTTTGCACTACCCTCTGTAGTGCCTTGCGGTCGGAGGCGGAGCAGTTGCCATTCCAGGTGGTGATGCAACCAGTCAGGATGCTCTCGATGGTGCAGCTGTAGAACTTTTTGAGGATCCATACCAAATCTTTTCAGTCTCTTGAGTGGGAATAGACTTTGTCGTGCCCTCTTCACGACTGTCTTGGTGTGTTTGGACCATGATAGTTTGTTGGTGATGTGGACACCAAGGAACTTGAAGCTCTCAACCTGCTCCGCTACAGCCCCGTCGATGAGAATGGGGGTGTGCTCGGTCCTCCTTTTCCTGTAGTCCACAATCATCTCCTTTGTCTTGATCATGTTGATGGAGAGGTTGTTATCCTGGCACTATGGTGTTGAATGCTGAGCTGTAGTAAATGAATAGCATTCTCACGTAGGTGTTCCTTTTGTCCAGGTGGGAAAGGGCAGTGTGGAGTGCAATAGAGAGTGCATCATCTGTGGATCTTTTGGGGCGGTATGCAAATTGTAGTGGGTCTAGGGTTTTTGGGATAATGGTGTTGTGAGCCATGACCAGCCTTTCAAAGCACTTCATGGCTACAGACGTGAGTGCTACGGGTCTGTAGTCATTTAGGCAGGTTACCTTGGTGTTCTTGGGCACAGGGACTATGGTGGTCTGCTTGAAACATGTTGGTATTACAGACTCAGTCAGGGACAGGTTGAAAATGTCAGTGAAGACACTTGCCAGTTGGTCAGCGCATGCTCGGAGTACACGTCATGGTAATCCGTCTGGACCTGCGGCCTTGTGAATGTTGACCTGTTTAAAGGTCTTACTCACATCGGCTACAGACAGCGTGATCACACAGTTGTCCGGAACAGCTGACGCTCTCATGCATGCTTCAGTGTTGCTTGCCTCGAAGCGAGCATAGAAGTAATTTAACTCATCTGGTAGGCTTGTGTCACTGGGCAACTCGCAGCTGTGCTTCCCTTTGTAGTCTTTAATAGTTTGCCACATCCGACGAGCGTCGGAGCCGATGTAGTACGATTCAATCTTAGTCCTGTATTGACGCTTTGCCTGTTTGATGGTTCGTCGGAGGGCATAGTGGGATTTCATATAAGTGTCCGGGTTGGAGTCCTGCTCCTTGAAAGCGGCAGCTGTACCCTTTAGCTCAGGGCGGATGTTGCCTGTAATCCATGGCTTCTGGTTGGGGTATGTATATACGGTCACTCTGGGGACAACGTCATCGATGCACTTATTGATGAAGCCAGTGATTGATGTGGTGTACTCCTCAATGCCATCGGAAGAATCCCGGAACATATTCCAGTCTGTGCTAGCAAAACAGTCCTGTAACTTAGCATCTGCGTCATCTGACCACTTCTTTATTGACCGAGTCACTGGTGCTTCCTGCTTTAGTTTTTGCTTGTAAGCAGGAATCAGGAGGGTAGAATTATGGTCAGATTTGCCAAATGGAGGGCGAGGGAGAGCTTTGTATGCGTCTCTGTGTGTGGAGTAAAGGTGTTCTAGAGTTTTTTTTTCCTCTGGTTGCACATTTAACATGGTGGTAGAAATTAGCTTGATAGCCTGAGTGCCAGTCTGTCTGTGCTTTCATGGCAACTCTGTGTCAGTTATTGCCATGCCAAATTGAGGGGGAAAATAATGTTTATAAACATTATTTGAAGATTGCTGTGACGCCAGTAAGACTGTTTTGGCTTGACAATGACAGCAAAAGAATTGGCAAGAGCACAAACCAATCTGGGATCAGGCTAGCAGCTTGACTCTGTTGTAAATGTTTAGACGTGGTGAAGAGGCAGAGAGCGTTATGGGAAATGCTGCTAATATTATAATCTATGTTAGGTCAGAGTGTGCTGATGCTGGCCGTGCCCCACGCAGACTAAAACGCTTTCTCAAAAGTCCGGAACCGGTTTCAAAAAAGGTTACTATTTATTTGGGAGAAGTATAGTTGTGCATACAACGACAGGCTAAGCGCAGGCTAAGGCCAGAATTCCACCCTTGCGGACTATTAAAAAGTAAACAATCATTATTTGTGATAAAATTGAAATGTTTAGTTTTGTGTTCATCTCTGTTGACCCAGAACTAAAATCTTGCGTAATTTGGTCAGATGCTAGTCTGTCCATGAGAGATTTGTTTTGGGTTAATATCCAATGAAAATGCAATATTATCATGTAGAAAAATGACATTTTCAAGTGATCTTCCTGGTTAACTCCTATTTAAAAAAAGAATAATCTGTTATCGATAGTGCAGGGTTATTAAAGTCTGACATTATCCCGGAAAGAGAGTGGGAGGGAGAAGGAAGGAACTGGGTGGAGAAGGAGGGATGAGAAGGAAAAGGTATTAGTGAGTAGACCTGGGTTAAACTATTTGAAATAATTGATTGAGCTTGCCTGGCTTAATGGACCAATGTAGTATTCCTGAAACCCGTATGTGTTAACGGTGCCACACACACATTGTGAGTTCTTGTTCTCTCTCACTTTCTCTCTTCGCTCTCTCCATTATCAGATCCCTCAGGGACATCTCCATATTGCCCAGGTGCCACAGGGGGAAGAGGTGCAGATCACACAGGACAGTGAGGTAAGTGTTTATTTCTGTCAGCCTGTCTGTCTATCCGGGTATCCCAGTGAGTGACTGAGGGCACTTTAATAGCCAGTATTAAAGTCATTAGGCAGAGTTCACCGTCAACAGATGTTAAATGTTAACAGTGCTTGTTTAAATCTACCGCCTGCCTATGCATGGGTTATTATACTATTTGTTTCCAAATAATACCCAGATTGCCCATGTCTCTCACCAGACAGCCTCACATGCACACAATGGCTTGGCTCTTTGAGAATCTGACCCAAAACCACAGTGTCTGAGAAATAGTTATCTGCATCAGCATTATAGTTAAACATTTGTAATAATATGTGGGGTAGATATTTATTTTGAGGCGACATTCTACGCGCACACACACACACTTGAGTAGATGTATACATACACATACTTGAAAATATACACATGCACACATACTTGCAACCATCGTGTGTACACAAACAAACACCTGCACTCATGCAAATAGGGCTGACACACCGACCAGGTATTCTACGGAGGTTCCTAACATATACAACCAAGACACAGGGAGAAAGAAAGTTTGAGAGAGACTGAGGAAGAAAAGCTCTAAAAGCCTTTCCTGCTCTTTGTGATCGGACGCCAGAATTTTATTTTTTTCACTCAATGATTTTGTTTGTTTTGGGAGTTCAAAGCATAGCAACAAAATCCCACTTCTCCCAACTGTCACTCAGTGTGTTTTCATTAGGAACAGGGCCCTCCTCATCAAAGCCATTGGTTTCAGCATGTTGGAAAAGGAAATAAAGCTATTTGGGAGGGATTACCATGCTGCCTGTCCATATGGCAGCTCCGACAGCGTTAAATATGAAATACAATTAGGAGTGAAAACAGCACAGAGGGAATATAGCTAAATTGGGCTTGTTTTTCATGTGGTCTTGTTAATGTCATGGTCTCTGTGTGATTTGTTTATGCTGTGTGAGTGAATGATGCTGTGATCGGTATGCTTATTATACAGCATGATTAGTGTGTGTTTACAAAATGTGTGTGAGACTGATGCACTCAGGCTGTCTGAATGATCCCTCTCTTCTCTCTTTCAGGGGAACCTTCAGATCCACCAGGTGCATGTTGGGCAGGATGGACAGGTAAGTCCCTTCACCCCCTGCAGTAACTTTATCCTTAAGTTTCATCACGGAAAACACTTTAAAATGTTTTTGCAACAGAACACGTGAAGTCCAGGTACCTCCTCCGTTTTAGGCCGTTTTCTTCAATTTGGTGCCTAATGAACACGACCCATGGAGGTTTAAGGTTTAAAGTTCCCACAGATTCTTCATTAATTCTGGGTTACCTCAGTGTGCTGTACCCCCTCTTTCCTGCAGACCCCACAAACACACACCGAGAGGAGCTAGCTCTCCATCCCTGTCTGGTCTGCCTCTCACTCTGGCTCTCTCTCTCTCTGGCTCTTCCTCTCTGGCTTCTAATCTTTCGTTCCATTGCTCTTTCTCTGTCTTATGTGCCTTTCTCACTGTCTGTGTCTCGCATGCTTTCTCAACTTCCTGTCAGTCTTTCCCCCCACCTCCATCTATCCAACCTTCCCTTCTCTCCTCTCTTTGTGGGTAGAGGAGAGGATGGTGTGTTTAGTACAGAAGGCTCTGTTCTTCCTGTTTCTCTGTTCTTTCCTCTGGGATCAAAGGGAACCTCCTGATCAAAGCACCAGGGCTGTGTGACGATCGCAGATCATACATCACAGATGGGCGCTGTGCAGACCAGGGCATTATTTCATATTCATGATCTCGATCGTCTAGAAGCCTGGCCGTAGAGGAAGTGGCTCGCTATCTTTCTCACGCTCCCTAGAGCGTTTTTCTTTCTGAGGACAGGTGCGTGTGTGCACAGCACCGTCTTTGTGACGTTAACTCTTTCTCAGCTTATGAGATCTGCTCTTACTAAACCCAAGCAATTGTTCAGCCAATTAGCTCATCCCTTATTCCAAGGTGCTGTCATTATTTGGAGAGCAGCTAAAGTTAGGTAAGGAACTCCAACAGTCCTGGTAACTCCAAACACCAACTTCTGTCATTAACACTAGATCCTGCCACACTGTGTAAACAAACTATGTAGTGCACTGAAGAGCAGAGTGTGTCTTAGATCTGTGTCCCTCACAGTGCCAGAGTGTAGCTTGACTAGGGCTGCGTCTCAAATGGCACCCTATCCCCTATAATATAGTGCACTACTTTTGACTACATAGGGAATTGGGTGCCATTTGGGACGCACCCTAGCTGTGTATAGGGACTTAACAAGGCAGGGCCCTATCCCCCTGGCAGAGCATGGAAGCCTTGTCCAATAAAGACCCTCTCTTTTCTTTTCCTCTTAATGTTATTAATAGATTGCACCTCTGTCACGCCATTGTTATGAACCTTCTCAAGCTGAACTCTATTGGCGGCGCTATAGTGGTGCCTTAAAGTGGTGCCTTAAGCCCAGTCATTCTGGACGGATGCTAACTACTGTTTAGTCTAAATTAAACTATAGTGCCTGGAAATACGATGACATTGCTAAAGTAGTCAAATATTTAGTAGGAAACAACTTTGCCAGCGTTGTCAGATTTATTTTTCACAGATGGCAATATTGCCATTAACTAGCAACGTTTGTCAAAAATCGCTAGCAATGCTAACGTTAGCTAGCTAAAATCCGGTGGCCTCCCCCCAATCTTAGCTAGCTAGCTAATGTTATACTGCATCTAAAGCCAATCTGGTGACGTCAAAAGGTTTTCCTACTAATTATTTGCCTCATTTTGAATGTCATTGTATTTGCAAGCCACTGTAATGCACTTTTGATGGAATCTTCATCAGCGCCCATTGACGAAGCATTGAGTAGAATGGTCAGTCGGGCATCAGTCCAAAACGAACATTCAAAACGATATTGTGACGAAACATGCAGACCATGAATAGCTCTTATTTTTATTGTGTCTGTAAAATTATATGAGGCCAGCGCCAAAACAAACACACAGTGAATTATTCTTCTAACCTTGTGTTCTGGGTCTGGCTTTTCACACACCCACACACACAGAGACATGGCACACATGCACAAACAGTGACTCAATGGCATCTTCCCTCCTTGCTAGTGTGTTTTCCCAGGGAGTGAGACAAGAATAGCACTAGCTGACCTGTCAGTTTTGTTCAAATGAGAGCGTGGTGTTTTTGTGTTTGTGCAATTGCTCTGAACGTTGATGCAACCCAGATCAAATGAAAGGAAGGACACAGACATTCTCTCTCTCTCACACACACACACACACACACACGGAAAAGGCACATAAGAACGGCGCGTGAAGTTGTTTCATTTGAGTCACTTCTGACTCATGAGTAACTTCAAATCAAAGTTTATTGGTCACAGTTTTGCAGGCGTTATCGCAGGTGCAGCGAAATCTTATGTTTCTAGCTCCAACAGTGCAGCAATATCTACCAATAACAATACACACCAGTGGAGGCTCCTCAGAGGAGGAAGGGGAGGACCATCCTCAGTGAATTTCTGAGATTTTTGTTTTTTTATAGTGAAACATTAGTTACCCTTTTTAGATAAAACTATACTAAATATATTAATGTCACCAAATAATTGATAAAAACACACTGTTTTGTAATGAAGGTCTACAGTAGCCTCAACAGCACTTTTTGGGGTAGCACCATGGTGTAGCCAGAGGACAGCTAGTTTCTGTCCTCCTCTGGATACATTGACTTCAATACAAAACCTAGGAGGCTCATGGTTCTCACCCCTTTCTATAGACTTACACAATAATTATAACAACTTCCGGAGGACGTCCACCAACCTATCAGAGCTCATGCAGCATGAACTGGCATGTCCATCCAATCAAAGGATCAGAGAATGAATCTAGTACTGAAAGCATAAGCTACAGGGAGCTAGCACTGCAGTGCATAAAATGTAGTGAGTAGTTGACTCCGAGAGAGAAAGACAATAGTTGAACATTTTTGAACAAATTAATTTCTTCAAAAATGAAGGAGAAGAGAGCGAGAGCTAACTTTATTTTGTATTTTTTTCACTTTCACTTACTTAGCTAGCGAATGCAGCTAGCTAGTTTAGCCTACTCAAACATCAGTCTCAAACAGAGAGGGATGCTATGTTAGCTAGCTGGCTATGGCTAGCCAACACTGGAGCTCTTCCAAGTCAAGGTAAGCTTTTGGTTTTATAAATGTATTGCAACCAGGGCCTGCCGGTGTAACTGCTGAACTGCTTACTGACTGTACACTGTACTGCATTATTGTAGCAGGTTTACTAACACATTAGTTTTAGTATCTATGTTGACTAGCTATGACGTTAGTTGATATGGTGACAATGATGTAGGCTGTGTGTCGAGGTTATGATATGAAGGTTTAGCTTGGAAAGTATTTTTCGACCTGGTCACAGACTGCTGACGTGTTGTGCACTGATGTCCACAGTTGGAGGGGAAAAGGTGAGAGGAAGAGAGCGGGCAGATGCGAGAAGGAATTATACAACGAGCAGATCATGCTGTTTGTATGTGGCTTCTATGAAAGTGAAGTGTGTTTGCATGTGAACAGGGGTGTTTTCCTTCTGCCGATTCTGTTGACAAACATTTCTTAAACGGAAGCAGACAGAAGGAAATGGGGATAAATATACCTGAATTTCTCTAATAGAAACTCTTGTTTGCAACTGTTGGACTGATGATTACACCCTAGATCAGCTAGATGCAGGCAAGAGTGTGCAAGGCGGTATTGAATGTCACGGTCTGTCACTTTGATTACTCAAATTTCTCTTGACCTGTGCACCTACATTGTAAACTTTCATTCATAGGCTAGGTGGGTATAGGGACAATTTTAGTGTCATCTAGCAGCCTAAACCTATAGACGTTACATTGAGCTGGGTAAATGGAATATGAAAGACAGTCATCGAATATGCTGTAATAGAAATAAGGCCATGTATATAAATAAAAAATTGTCCTCCCTAATCTTAAACGGCACTGACCGCCACTGATACACACATATATGTGAATGGTGTGTATGGACAGTTTAAGTGAAGACACTTTTATAAGTGAAGTCAGATTTATCCAAATAACTCTACTTGATTGCATTTCGGATTGTGTTCTGTTCATTGGGTGTTGGTAATGCTCGAACATGGTGAGAGCACAGCACACATTGTCAAAAGACCATAGAGAAATGTGATTGTCCATTTGCAGCATATCCATTTGGGCCTGTGAATGAATCTGCTACAATCTACAAGGCCTGTTTCTGAGTAGGCAGGCTACAGCTACACTTAGCCTGAGTGAGCAGTATCCCACTGCACTGGAGGAACAATGACATCACACAGAGACTATGCTAGTGTAACTTATAGCACACTGCTAGAAGACTTCCACATCTCCACCCTCCCTCCTCTGCTCTCTTATCTGGGCCTCTACTCCCTCCCTTTCTCCGTCCCTTGTTCTTTTCATCTCCTTCTGCTATAGATAGACTGACCCTGTCAGGCAGAAGCTGGGCGCTTCCCTCTGCACCTCTCACTTCCTCTCCTCACAGCTGCTGACTGCTGCCCTCTGAGGTGCAGTGGGGATGCTATGTTTCATGTGGTGACAGATGTTTCTGTGGCGGTGGGATCCACAGTGGTCGTTTGGGGGATTGTGGCTTGTGTAAGGGGCGTGTATTCATGGTCCAGACACAACAGTTGAAGTATAGGCCTGTGTCATTGCAGTGGTGTGTAACATACTGGGGATTGTGATTCCCTATCACAGGTCTGGAGGCTAGTGAATGGGTGAGGGTTGACAGTCTGCTCTGGAGTTAGAGGGGAAGAGAGAGCGGGGAAGACTAAGAGAGGGTTTTGGCCAAACCGAGACAGACGGAGACAGTTAAAGTTATGACTGGTGCAGACTGCCCCAATCTTGCCCTCTCCACCCTTCTGTGACTGTCATAGTTTCTGGACATTTACTGCCTGCTAAGAGACAGCAGCACAGTATATCACTTATCGTGTGTGTGTGTGTGCATGCCTGTAGGTCTGTGCACTCGTGTGTGTGTGTGTGTGTGTGTGTGTGTGTGTTTCCATTCCTCATAGCCAGCTTACCGCCAGTCGATGGCTGTTGAGGTCTGGGCAGGGCTGGATGGTGGATCCAAGCAGGTACGATTTAAAAACTCATTCATGATGCTGGAAGAGCAGGCTGGCCTGTGAAACCATAAAGAAATACACTTTTACAGCACTCCCCCCTCAGCCCTCCTGGAACCTCTTATCTGCTGTCCGCTCTGCTCTAACCATACCCTGATGGACACTGAATGTGAGAGTGAGAGGGCTCTGTCACACACACTAGACACCCTTACCCCACACCACCGGGAGCTGAACCACATCTCACTCCTGGAGAACACCATAGACCTCACCCTCTAAATTTACTGGCTCGTTCTTCCAAGTCTGTGTCATTCACTGAGGCTGTACCAGAACATTCCGAATCCACGGGGGTCAGTGAGGTCTCCCTCCCTGTCTTTCTCTCTCTCGCTCCCCCCATGCAACCTCCAGTAGCGCCTCGGACCAGGCCTCCTCCTCTCAGGCAGATGTTGCGTAACACCTGGAACATCCTGAGGTTCTGCTGTTGTGGATCAGCAGTGGGAACCGGGTCAGGGATCAGTGGTCCTGGCCAGACGGCTTAGTGTGTCCTGGAGTCTGTCCAGAACCCCAGTTCCCTCTCACTTCCCCAGGCCCATCTGTCTGTCAGGGCCTGTATACACCAGAAGGAGAGAGAGGTAGGGAGGGGGGAAATGGGAGGGATAAGTGGATTGGAGGGAGGGAGGGAGGGGAAGCTGGCAGGGGAGAGAGGGAGAAATGGAGGTACAGATTAAGAGGGGGAGGATGGAACAGGTAGAGGGAGATGAGATTAGGGGGAAGCAGCAACATATCGTAGCATGGCTGTTTGGAGCTCAGCTCCCTCTGCTTCTAATCTGTTGCTTCCCTCTGGGGCTCTGGGCTGGACTCTGGCTGGACTGCACTTAGCTCATGGCCCAGAGAACACAAGAAAAGCACCAGGAGATGGCTGCACTCAAACTAGTAAATGCCATTTGGCAGTTTGTGTGTGCGTGTGCGCTTTTAGAGTTCACAAGCACATGTGTATGAGTTTGTGCTTGCTTGTTGGTGTGTGCGTGTGTGTGTGTGTGTGTGTGTGTGTGTGTGTGTGTGTGTTTAATAGCAGGTTGACATCAGTTCCTCTCACAGATGGCTGAAGTGAGTTTGCTACAGATTAGGCCTAGGTGTGGACCTTCAGTCACCATCTCTCTACTGTTACTAATGTTTGACACAGAGCAGATGCTGAGGAGGTCCACAGGGTTAAGCACACATACTTAGAACATAAGACACTCCGGATCGAACCGCTAGACCACAGCCCATATTGATATTTAATCATCCTATTTCTCCCTGTCCAAGAATGTTGTTGATAATATCATGGGAGAGCTTGTTGAGCATTTTGGGATCCACAATGCAGGAGGGAAAGAGAGGGGGAGACAGAGAGGGGGGCGAGACAGTTGGAGATAGAGTAAATGGAGGAGGGAGCCAGCGTCCATGGAGGGGAGGGGGAAGAGGGAGTTGGATAATTGGAAACAGTGATATACATACAGAAATACATTAAACATGGGACATAGAACATGCATGTTAGCAGTGTAGGATTTAAAGCTGGTGCTATTACAGAGGATCCCATTTCAAAGGAGCTGTGTTTTTAGGGAGCCTGCACTATCTCATATTGACCTATGGCATTATGGGAGGAAGATAAGGGGCACAGATCATTCTCTTGATCTCCAAGATCACAGATGGAGATCACAGATCGCATGCCAAAATGTGTGTCTAGTTGGTGTTTGCTTTGCTGTGTAAGTGTTAGTGCCTATATCATTGTGTGACGTTTATGTATCTGTTTTTCAGTGCGAGTCTGTGGGGTGAGTCATCCGTGTGTGTGTGTTTTTGTACTGGGCATAGCTGAGAGGTACTCGATGTCCCTGGTAGTGTGTTAACAAGAACCAGATGTCTCTGGTAGAAACTTTACTGTGCCTGGAGCACCACCACCACACCCGATCTCTAGACTCCTGCTGGGTTCTAGCCCACAGCCACCCCACGAAGATGCACCACAGCAGGGCTTAGAGTGTCTCAAATGACACGTTATTCCCCATTTAGGGGTTAATCGTAACTACTACCTAGTGCGTTTTAACACGTAGTTTTGAGCTATAGTTCGAATCAGTTTATTTGTTACATTGTATTTTTTTCATTTGGCCCATTTTTGGTTTTACATTGTCAAATGTCAAACCACTTCAATTCCTAAACAAAACCACTTATCCATGTAAGTAATTTGTTAATTGGACCCAAATGCTCACCTTAAATCCATCTATGATTATCATGAAGCATCACTTGTATCCAAATCTACTTTCGCTTTTGTCTTCCAACAACATGTGGGAGGAAACGGCGCAATAGCCGCTCTAACTGCGACTTGAATAGGTTATATTCAGTAGCCTATATACCCGCTATAGCCCCCGTCTCCCCTAATCTGCATCAGATGCACTCATAAATGCACTGCTACTCACAGAATGTTTGAAATATCGAGTTATGATGCTGCATGCATTTATGACTGGCGCGACTGGTTCTTTTCCTGTGTTTGGTCTGGACTGCATTCTCACCTGGCTCGAACCACACCATGGTGCGAATTGAATCGGACCAAGATCACCCTTTTTGAGTAAACCACGGTGCGTTGTTTAGTGTGCTCCCGAGTTGGGATAGTGTTTACACCAGTCCAAACGAACCGAACTAAGGGGGTAAACGCACCAAAGTTCTGAAAAAGTAGGTGTGAAAGCCCCCTTAGTCACATCTTTCCTTAGTCATGCATTGATGTCAATGAGACACGAAGTGAAAATGTGACACATTTTGGTAAAATTCCTCTTCCTTGAAGTTGTCTGTAGGCGAGTAGTGATGGCATCCACAATAATCTGTTGTTTACTTTTGCCACAGCCAGGGGGTAGCATCATTAGCATCTTCCCCCCAAAATTATGTAATCCATGTTAGCAAAGCTGCATTGCAAGCTGTAACTTCCTCAAAAACACTTAATACTACGTGTCGATACTTGAGAAGAACCTGTCCATGTTTTCTTTCCTGCAGGAATGTTATTTGTTGCAGTAATATCTGAATATTCCAATGCTCTGATAGTTCCATCAAGCCACCGGTGAGTTTCGCAGCTGGTAATCAATCTGCGTCGGAGTGCCCAACAGAAAAGGAAGCATACAATACAACTTTATTGTCCATGTTACAGCAAACAGACCGATGTGGCTGTGAGAATACATAAGGAAATAGCTCCAGTTTTGCGTAACAAAATTCCTGTGACTATTTCAGAGGTATGCATGCAAATAAAAAAATTAAAACGAACTACCAAACTTAGTTTAAAGTTTTTTTTGAGGACGTTTCGGCTTGCAATGCAGCTTTGCTAACATCGTTACCATGAATTACATGCATTTTTTGGGATGATGCTAATCATGCTAACCCCTGGCTGTGACAAAAGTTAACAACAGTTTATTGTGAATACTGTCACTACTGGCCTACAGACACAACTCAAGTTTGTATCTGTAGGCCAAAGAGGAATTAGACCCCAATAAATTCTGGGGGATGAACTATCCCTTTAAGAATACACAGCCAATAAACACACGTTCCATCCCATCCCGCTTTGATGACGCAAGCAAAGATGATGAAGAGGATCCCTTTAAAAGGGTCCATCTTTTGTTTTCTTTTTCTGATGAAGACTGCTCGTATAAACGGCAGTAAAAACACTGAATGATGCCTCTTATCAGGATAAAGAGGCTTTTATTTATGTCTGTAAATAAGCCAGAGATGTTCTTTCATGTAAGACAGTTGTATCGTGGGCCATGTGGGCGTTGTGTGAAAAGCACGGCGGCGAGGGTGCGGCCCCTCCCTGCCAGGCTCCCTCAGAGCGGGGTTGCAGGAGGTTGCCGGGAGGCCATCTAAACAAACAAGCTAATTAGAATCATGATAAAGTCATCATTGTAAATAGAATGATTTTAAAGGCCCTCGTAAAAATGCATCTGTCAATCAGCTAGGCCAAGCTAGATTTTTGAGCCCGAGAACAGACACGAGTGTATATAGTACACTGGGGGCCTGCCTCCTTAAAAGAAAAAGGCCCTGCTGAATTACAGATGTTATTTCAGTCATCGCAGAGGCCGACCGAAGGCCTTTGATAATACTGGTCCTGGATCACAATTCAAACCGATCTGGTTGAGTCAAAATCACACTAGCCTCGACTGAAACTGACTCTGCATTCTACTGAAAGGTGTGGGAGTAGGAGGAGAGAAAACATATAAAGCAGGGTTAAATTTAATGAGGTGTCAAGCCTGTGTTTAGGAATGGTGTCATCAAGTGGGTGGATGAGAAACACTGCAGCGGAGTGTGAGAGTAAGTGCCTTTTAGGACGGATGCAGATTTACAAAGGTTAGGGCTTTATTTTAATTTGTATTTCTGCAACTCCTAACTCCTTGCTGCCTCCTCTCTCGACTATTAAGATGGTGGTTACATGACAGTGCCA